ATATCTTTGGAACACAAAGGGAAGGTTGTGCGACCACACGAAAGAGGGGAGTCGTTGTGGCAAAGGGATGGTGTGCAACAGGATGCCGTGGCTAAATGGTTCTGGCATTAGTGATGAAGGCTGGGTTGGTTGGTCCTAGTAGCCAGTGGCTGTGGCTGGCCGCTGGTCTACAGTCTGCGAATAGGGATTTTCTTTTCTATTCCAACAATAAAGGCTTAATAGATATTGAGATTAAAGTTCTTTTAACCTAGTGCTCTGATACTATGTTAACAAAGATTTGACATATGTTCTATTAAATGTTATAAACCTATATATACAGACTTTTTAGGACGGAAAAAAAAAAATTAATTACAATTAATTCATAGGATGTAATTTACCCTTATACCCTTTAACCTAATTTATTATTTTTTACACAGTTTCCATTATGTTTGTTACCGAAGAGAAGGATGGAACAGAGTGCTTGTTATATCATCATAGGGAAGCTCAAAGGTCAATGTTTTATATCATTCACCACGTCGAAACCCATGGATGGAGTTTTCACTGATCTAGGAAGAATATTATGGAATGGATTAGCTCTAGATTGCTTAAATAGGTTACAAATTATAAGCACGTTAAATATAAAACTACTGTACTATTTAGGAGTTTATCGTTAGTAATTTTAGGATTTCATTTAATTAGTATTTACATTTCCTATTTGTTTAGTACTAATATTTGTTTAGTTCAATCTTGTCTAGGAAATGCTACCTTGAAGCATTATGAGTATCTTTACAATTTTATTTTTGAGATGTGTCACTTAATAAAATAATTTAGGAGCATTCGATTTTCTGGTTCTGATGCGCTCAAGCCCTTAGAGTTTAGGATTTCCTTGTTCAACTAATGAATTTCTTTGTCTTTAGGACCTTGCTAAGTTTTGTCTTTAAATGTATATCAAGAGCCATTAAAGTTAACATCAGATGCACATTGTCTATCACTAAAAGAATTGCTTACTGATCAATTTCTCGAGCACTCAAATATTTTTAGACACTTGAAATTGCTTATTGAATATGTGAGCCAACTAGAAGAATTGCCGCCATTCCTTATGACAATGCACTATTGACCAAGGGTTTTGGGTTCATTGTTCTGCATTTAAAATATTAGTTGGCAAGATGAGGGGTTAGCAGTTAAAGAGATCTTATTTCTTGAAAGCATTGCAAGACTTAAAATCTAGTCTCTGGATTTTGATTATGGGGCAGTAATTGAAAAAAATGTTTAGGCACTTCTTGAAGTCTAGACAACTTTAATGGATTGATGTTCTCTCATATATGAAGGGAATCATGGCTCTTTCTTTTTCTACTTTCTTCTCTCCTATAGAATGTCTAAACAGATCATAAAATTTTTTGTTAGTTGCTTACAAGTTAGCAGGAGAGGCCTTGAAATTTGTGCCTTCAAGTTATAACCATATGCAAGTTATAACCTTGAAATTTGTGCCTTCAAGCACCAAAATCTTCAGGCATTCCTCTGCATGACTACAGGGTTGTAGTTATTATCATATGCAAGAGCTATCTCTTTCTATGGAGCAAAATATGTTGTTACTATTGACCACCTAGCTAATGAGAGTAAGAGGGTGTTTGATATTTCTAGAAGAAATGTGGTTAAAGTAGTAGAGCGCTTTAAGTTATTTGAATAGTAAATTCTTATTAAAAAATTAAATAGGTACTTATTTGAGCGAAACGTTGATAGTAAAAAATAAGTAGCTGTGCTTTGGTAGAAAAAACAATGTATATGTTTTTGCCAAGGATTTATGACTTACATTATTATATTTATTGTTAATTTTAAACAATTCAGAGTATCATTAAGATAACCAGTTCGATAGAAAAATAAAAACCTAAATAGTTAGTAATATGGTGCTTATCAAATAGAGAGATTGAACTAGGATAGCTAGAAGTTGCTTATGGTTAGCTAGTCAGCAACACCACACACTATGATCTTTTCATGAGGTAACTGAAGAGATTATGAGATATGAATTCCACTGAAGAGAGTAACCACTAAATGATGGAACTCTTACTAGTAATAAGAACCGTCATCACTCAAGTTGAGGGATGTTGATGTCTTAGTTGATTTGAATTACATGAAGAAATAAGGCCTCACCTTAAGAGGTTCTATCAAAATTTTTTTGTGCTCCTAATAATGATAATGAAAGTTTGTTGATACTGGATTTATCATGCTTACTTCTTTCTTTAACACTTAGGAATACATGCTTTTGCAGACAATTTCATTTTCTCAAGACAGACTTAGATTTGGTGGAATAGACATGCCTAAGTTTTCGGCTTTTTGCTACTTTAACATTTCAAAGTTTGAGGTCAAGTTTTTATTTCTGTAGGAGAATGATGCAAAATAGGATCGTTCTGCAATGAAAATAGCTATTGTTAGAGTTTTTATTAACTTTACATATTACTGAGGATATTTTGTGTATTTTGAAACTATAAAATAGATTGTTTATTATTTTTAGGAATTTTATTTCGTAGCTAATTAGAAGTTTATTCTATTAACCTTGTTTAAAAATATGAGGTTGTGTAGACACCCTATAGATATGTGAGTTATTCATCACTGTCAAACAGACTGCTTATGGATAAAAATCTATTAATGTTCTTATTAAATTGAGTGTCTAACTCTATGGTTATGCTTGTGCCAATCCTATGATTGTGGTTGTTGCCAATCCTTGTTACTGTAAATCAGATTTATCTTATCCTTTCTTTAATGTCTTTTTATCTTTCTAAACCTGGCTGCATCAACAACTTTTGTCTACTTTTCATGTAAAACAATAATTTGATTTCATGAAAACATAGGAATTAATATTTTTCTACACTACCTGTTGTTTTTGCCATTTATTAGAAAAAGGAGAAAAATTTCCATATCTTTGTTCGTTATTGATAAACATAGTTCTTGATGACTCTTCCTACCTTTCAGTGGTATATTCGGAAGATTCAAACTTATGTTCCTTTCTTAATACAATGGAAGGACTATATTTAGACTTAGCAAATGCAATGTGGCAGATTTTGGAAACTGCAAAGACTGCTCTTTGATTTTCTTTAGTTGTTTATGGCTTAACTGTATAAGCAGCATAACATTTGAAGTGGTTGAGTAAAGGAATTGATGAACTGTAATTAGATAGATGGTGACTTAATTAACTTCAAACATTTAAAAAAAATTGGTTCTGTGTTATTTGGAGAGGTTTAAGAATATTTTACCCTTCCTTTATGATTCCGTTATAGCCCTGAGTTGGATCTAGTTATGGATTTCTTTTGGAAGAGGGTAAGGGCTCACTAAGGGAGAAATTCTCCAGAATTTAATGTTAAGGGCTGACCAAGAGGTCTCCCTTTGATCTCTTTTTAGTCGCTCGTTAAAGACCCTCTTCATCTATGAGTTTACAAAAGAAACTTAATACTCTTTGAGACAATTGCTTATCTTTTTATTCCAATCCTGTTTACATTTGTAGTTAGCCCCTAAGAAAGAGGTAACTTTTTTTTGGAGGTATCCAACTATCTATATCAACTGATACGAAGCAATTATGGTTAACTTGACTACTTATGGATTTGGTGGTAAAACCTAGATATCACATTGAAACTTTATTTTTGTTTGAGATGACACCTAAAGTTTCTTGGATATTTTTAAGCATTGTATTTAGGAGTCGATTGTATTAGGCATCTAGAGAGATTGAAAAATTCTTTAAAATCTCTTTATTG